GTCATGGTAACACGATATTTTTTTAAGAATATTCTTACAAATAAAAAATCGCCTAAAAATATCACTTTTAATTACAAAAGTATCAATTTCCCAACATATATATGTTAGGTATGTTATTATACGTAATATAAGCTTCTTTATAAAACTATTAAAACTGCCTTTAATTATTAAATTGGCTTTATCGATAAACTTTGAGTTTGCAATAAAATGATTTCAAATTCTCGCATGCAAATAACTTTGCTTTCTTTTTTATTTAAAAAATTCAATATAGGCCTAATAAAAAAGGGAATCAATATTATTAATACACTGAAATTACATGCTGTCTTGTTTAGTTGTTTCATATACGCAAAGCCAAAGGGACAAATTAAAGCGGCCGTCTGGTTTTAAAGCAATTATAAAATCAATATTTAAAACAAAGTTACCTTCGTTGACGTCGGCTCTCTTCTTTTAGCCGATGCTTTCGCCCTTTCTTTTTTGAAATTTACAAAATCTTGCAAACTGAATGCGAGCAAAAATTAAATATATTTGCAAGAAATTTATCAATCATCAAATCAAGAAATGTTTGCTATTTCGCTGTCGTCATACACGCGACAGTCGTTATAATGCAAACTTTAAATTGGACCAAGCAGTGTCCGCTATTCATGACAGTCCGCCATATTTTTGAGATCAGTGAGGATGACCACCCACCGAACCACCGAACCACTCACGGTAACCCACGTCCGCGCTCATTGATGAACTTTAGATTTGGCTAATGCTTCCGTTTCCCTGGGTGTAAATAGCCTGGGGGAATTAGTACCCTCGCACGCCGCTACGCGCCGTCGGCTCGGGGATGAAATAACCAAATAACTAAGTCAACATAATTTAGTGTTCCGCACGTTTTAACAGGCATTATCATCAATTCAATTTATCAAACCCGCCGTTTCCTGTGAAGATATTAAATTCTCTCCCCTTAGTAATTGAAATCCGCACAAATTTAAACTAATATTTAAAATAACGGAATTGTACTGTATATGTACCATTTCAAAACTAAGACCGCCATTAAAGTGGTATGTCCCATCTGTTACTTAATTAAAATTTTTAAAAATCTTTCGGAGAAATAAAATGCTTTAAAACGTTCTTCAGCTGGCTTCTCATCCTACAGCAGTGAAGGATGGGTTGTGCCAGCAAGTTTATTTTCAGATCAGTAATTTACTACACTTCATCTCAAATTGGAGCATATCAGTATACTAATAATGTTCTACTTCAATTGCAGGCAATCCTTGTGCCCAAATACCTTGCTTTAATGGAGCAACATGTAAGAATATTAACAGGAAAGAATTCAAATGTAGTTGTCCAAAAGGGTTCAGTGGACCCACCTGCAGAAATGTCGGTAAGTATGACGTAGTCAGATATATCCAAAGTATGGGGTAACACTGCAGACACTCGGATATTATATATACTCCTTCAAATCCGACTATATGAGGGCTTGACTAAATTTCCAGTCCGCGCAATTTGATCACGTCCGAGGCGAAGGCGAGAAGTGGATAAAAAGGCGAATTGAAGTCTGGATTGGAGGATTTCAAATGACATCTTACACGAATAAAATACTAATAGTCCAAGGACTGAATTCATCTTGATCCAAACGTGGGACTGGATCAATATAATTCACTAGGTATCTAGTATTATCATGTAAAAATGTATTCATGAATTATTCATGAGTTTGAGATAATTTATACAGTATGCATGTTATAGAATAAGAAATACAGGACTCGCACATGTCATTTAGTAATTATGGGGGAGGGGATACTTCCAGTCTTCTACCAAAATTTTTAGGTAACCCCAAAGCATATAGAAAGATCTTGAAAAAAAGCACCGCGCGAGCAGAAAACTATGCGCACCACGGCTGGAAATTATGAAATATCCCAAACGAGAACATTTCCTCCTTATAATATTACTGAGAGAACAATACCACAACATAACATAACACTTGCAGAACTAGTATCGTTCGATTCTGAATTCAGGTTAACGAATATGTTTATAACATTCAGTATTTAAGTTCTTTGAATGTTTGCATGGCGATAAAATATAATTGTTTTTGTTTGTGGAAACACCATGTAAATTTATTACTGCAAAGCTTTCGATCCGTAGCCCGGATCTTCATCAGTGCTAATAATATGTGACTTGTTTAATTCACACGCTCCTTTTATATACAAGAATTAAATTTCAAATGACGCGAGCCAACAGATCACGACACTCTTGTATATAAAAGGAGCGTGTGAATTAAACAAGTCACATATTATTAGCACTGATGAAGATCCGGGCTTACGGATCGAAAGCTTTGCAGTAATAAATTTACATGGTGTTTCCACAAACAAAAACAATTATTCAGTATTTAGTTCTTATTTTGGTTCACGAAATGCCGAAAAGTGCTCGACATCATATGGATGGACAGGGCCCTAGCAACCGGGGGCCTGGGGGGTTGCAGCTCCCCCCCCAAATAATTTGCTAATAATCATTCTTTTTTTCAAAATCATGCAGACCTTTATCATTTAATCCACGACAAACTGCAAGGAATGAAGATATTACCCATACTTTCCTGCAATTTATTCAATATATATACTTAATTAAAAGCGCCTTCGCCCATTTAGTACTACTAAATTGTAAATTTCGACATACTAAAACGCTGTTTTCTGAATTCAGAATTCTGTCAAATCTTCCCCCAAAGTCCATTTCAGAGACTCTAAATTTAAAAATTTCTTCGGGCCTTTGGCCCTCGCTTTCAGCCCCCTCCCCCCCCCCCCCCCCCAATTGACAAATAGCTTCATACGGCCCTGATGGAGCAGAAAATGTAGTTTTTTGCCTATCATTGTTCGCTTTTGGTTTTGTACTTTTTTTTTCTTAAACTGTGTAGGTTTATCCTGGTTTTCAGCATTAAATATACTTTCTTCCATTCTGTTTAAAGAGTGCAAATCTGGATATATCTCCCGTGGAAATCTTTGCTACAACAGGATGGGCAGGCGTCCATGGATTGTCGCTAGATGCCGACCAGGGGAT